GGGGGGGGGGGGGGGCACCCGAGTTTTGCCTTGCCTAGGGCAGCCCAGAGGGGGAGGGGGCAATGTTTTAATTATTCATTTTTATTAGTAGTTCTGTGTGTGTGTAATGTGTGTGTTTGTAATGTGTGTGTTTTTAATAAGTGCGTGTATGTGTTTTATTGAGTGTATAGGTGCCCATTCATACTGGGCGTTTTATCGCGCGATTTCTGCCGCACGATATCGCAAGAAGTCGCCATCCAATGCTTTTCAAGTGAGCTGTTTTAATGTACAGCTTCATGTCGCCAGTCACTCATGCCGGACCCTTTTCCCCCGTGAATGTCGCTCGATTTTTGCATGCAGCCCAACGGTGAAGGTCACGCGATCGTCATTGGAACGTCGCCTTAACAGTTGCGCTATTGCAGAAATCCGCCCAGGTGAGTGTCGCTCAGTGTGAATGGGGCCTTAATGTTTGAATATGCGGGTTTCTCTATTTTGCCTAAGGCAGTGATGTTGAACGTTTCTTAAACCCGAGCGCCCAAACTGCAATACTAAACTTATTTTCAGCGCTGGCACTTTGAGATAAATAAATTGATTTTGCATCGCAGTTTGGGCACTCGGGTTCAAAAAGGTTCACCATCACTGCCCTATGTGATAGAAAGAACATTAAGTGAAAAAAGTAAATAAACATTGAAAAGAAAATTAAAAATAATAAAATATATAAAGATTGAAAAAATAAAAAAAGTAAAAAATTAAAATGAAACCCTGCTGCCCCCGCATGCGTAGGACATTCTGCATGTGCTTTGAGATTGCAGCCTCCATTCCATGGTGGTAGCCAGAATTCTCTTACACACACACACAATGTGCATTAAAGGGCAAGTTCATTTTCTCAGGTAATATGGAAAAATAAAAATTACCCAATGAAATCTGGCCCCGTCTCTCCCAAACCGTGATCCCCCTGGCTATACTTACCTTTCGCCGAACAATCCCTACCCTCTGCCAGTATGGGTGTACTATCTGTCCAGCGCAGTCCTCCCCTATGCATTTTGAATTTCGCTCACAAATTGCAAGCACTCATTGGTCAACGTGGTCAGATGACTGCGCTGACCAGTGAGAAGCGCTATTTAGCACAGTCAAATATGTTTTGATTAGGGGTGCACCGATGCTAGTATCAGTGCGATGCAGAGTATTTGGGCAAATGCAAGTACTCGTACTCACCCAAATGCTCCGATATCTTCCCCGATATTGGAACTTACGGCCAGATGAAAATTTCCTCTGACTGGGAGTGCCGTAGGGAAACATGGAGGCAGCTTACCGGGCAATCAAGAAACCGTGCGGCAAGTAATGACCCGCCTCCTGGTTTTCGGATTGGCCGGGAAGCCGGCTCCTTGCTGATTGGCTGGAAAGCCGGCTTCCTGGCCAATCAGCATCGAGCCAGTTTCCCGGCCAATCCGAAAACCAGGAGAAGCAGGTTTTCCAGCCAATCACAATCAAGCAGGCCAAACAACATGGAACCGGCTTCCGTGGCAATCAGGAACCTGGGCGGGATGTCATTACACGCTGCCCGGCTTCCTGATTACCAGGGAAGCCATCTCCATGCCAGCAGAAGCACCGGTATTAGTATTCAGTGTTGGCGAGATCCGAAAGAAAAAAAACGGTACTCGTACTCTATACCGAAAAACCGGTATTGGTGCATCCTTATTTCTGATTAAAACTATTTTTTAGTATTGGGACAAGTAGATTTGGCCCCCGCTTTAGCCCTTGGACAAGTACCGGTAGTTTTTTAAAAAATTCCCACACCCGATATGTATTGTTTGTATTACGCCCTGTCACTATGTCGCCCTGATGAAGGGACCCTGCGTGGCCCCGAAACTTTGGCTTGACTGATATATGCGACGCTGCATGACAATAAACAAATACAAGGACTTAAAGGAAAACCTTTTGAGTGCTGGCGATTCCTCTACTACACAAGTCTGTTGTGCACAGCGCCATCTGTGATCATCACTGCGAGCACCACCGCTTAATTTATGGTCGTGAATGCTGTAAGGAGTGCAGGGGACACATCTGTTCATCTACGCAGTTTATATAACCTGGTGCGTGACAGGTATCAAAGGATGGAAAAGTCAGATCACCCAGCAGGACAGGACGTATGCACACACCATGCTGGTTTTCACTTTTCGCCCCTCTGAGGAAGCCCACGGTGTAGGGCGAAAGCGCGCGAAGGGAAGACCAGCATGGAGTTTGCATACGTCCTTCTGGATGATCTGGCCTTTCCACCCTTTGATACCTGTGACTCCCCAGTTAATTGAAAGTGACATTTTGTTTGAATGTGTGGAGATACAATTGCCCCATCCTTTTGCCTTTCTGCTGGGACAAGCTGAATGGAAGCCGGGACAAAGCTAAGTACCTGTATTTGTGCATCTGAGCATGGATCAACATGAATGCACTGTTTTTCTCCTGAGCCTTATGCACTACACAGTTTGGCTACCATTAGCGCATATATATGTTGTCCACTTACGCAGATAACACTGTACAGCGTTTGCAGGGTTGCACCTGGCTACCGCAGGCCCTGGGATGTTATTATGGCAATTTGATGGGACATATGTACATTGAGATCATCTTTTGGATTGGATATACTTACATCATTTCAACATACTCATATGTGGCACCATTTGGAGTATTAACTGTTTGTTGTTTTTTACGCTGACCACAGTGTTCAGTCTTTTGCATTCCGCACCTGGCTGCTTTGCTATCTTAAGGTTTAATATTGGCACTTCGTTTGGACATATTGATACCAGATATGTCGGCTGAACTTGCAATTATGTGGTATCATTTACAGTGACTTTTTTGGGCACAATACTCAGTGTATTGGCTTCCACACCTCCCAACAGCAGTTTTTTGTTTGAATTTCATGGTGACGTCACTATATAGACATCATACTATTTGGAACTGATTTTTATCATACATGATGAGTTTAACATATGGTCTGGCCAGACCTTTCAGACAGCAAATTTTGGGTCTAAATAACATTAGATATTAAGCAGGACGATATTTTGTATTTCCATTCATTAATTTTGCACACTTTTAAATAAGTATGTTTTTCTGATTGATTCCCAGGGAGTATATATGTA